CTTTCTGGAGTTCCATAGCTTGCCTGCAAGGGACCCTTTCTGGGGAAGTGGAGGGAAAGCTGAACTGTGTTCAAGGGCTGATCCATGGCATTCACATTTAAATTTCTCGATTAAAGCTGTATATTGTGATTTAAAGTGACCAAATGATTTTTATTACCTGTGAGCCATCAGAAAAGTTTCGGGATCACCCAAGTTTTCATCCAGGGGTGGGGACAGATCTCCGCACCCTGAATCCCTGTGGAGGGGACGGTGGCGGATCCAGGTTTGCCATCCGCTTCCCTTCACACCTCTGTCCTGCTTGTTCTGCAGGTTGGTCTCATCTGAGCCCGGGGCAGCACGCTAGTTCACTGACATTCACCGACTTGGCAGCAGTGTTTGCTCCTTAAATACATTGAGGTCAGGAGGTACACTTCAGAAATAGGAAATTAGTAGAAGACCTGAACAAGATGGCAGGTTGAAACTGGAAGAGACAAGGGTACTGGGTGTCTGGAAGCCAAATGAAGCCTTGTCCTGTAGGTCTCCAGTTTACTGTAAACAGCAGGTGAAGACTTTCAGTAACTAGAAATGAAGCCTCATTGACTGGCGATTGAAAATGTTGTTGGGGAGTGCAATGAATGCCTGTCTAGTAATCCGCCCAGTGTGTCTTCTCTGGGAAACCTCTGCTCATAAACAGGGATGGCCCTGGCAGCCATATTGGCCCCCTGCAGCCCCCATCATCTATGATTAAGGGTTAGGGTTAGGCTCGTGATTTAGTCCCTGTGGGTGCAGCTCTGTAACATCATTTCTCTGACACTTGGAACATAGGAGCCAGGAAAGCCGGTTGTCAGACTAGGAGAATAGAGCACACGGATAGAGAGATCACCTGCTATGGAGAAAAAATTCCGTTGAGTTCCTCCTGGCTTTTCAGGTCTGGTTTCTGGGTTTTCCTTAGGACTGACTTATTTTTGCCCTTGGGTTCTATTACACATCTATCTAATCTATCAACTGTCTATTATCTATCTACCATGTATCAACTATCTATCTATCTATCTATCTATCTATCTATCTATCTATCTATCTATCTATCTTAGAGATAAGGTCTTACTCTGTTGCCCAGGCTGGAACACAGTGGCACGATCTCTGTTGACCACAGCCTGAAATTCCTGGCCTCAAGAAATCCTCCCGCCTCAGCCTCCCGAGTAGCTAGGACTACAGCTGCATACCACCATATCTGGCTAATTTTAAATTTTTTTGTAAAGATGTCTTGCTATGTTGCTAAGGCTGGTCTTGAACTCCTGTCCTCTAGTACTCCTTCCATCTTGGCCTGCAAAAGTGTTGAGATTTTGGGCATGGGCTACTGCGTGAAGCCTTTTTTATCTGTTTAATGAATTTTCCATCCTCTATTACTAGGGTACAGAGAGAGCTTTTCAGTGGCTTTGAAGCATTGTGCCAAATATTTCGAAAATCACATTTTAAAATCTACTTTTTGATTTATTTAGTTGCTGCAAATTTTGACAGGTCTGTCACTAATCAGCTGGATGTACTGAGATACTTGGATCTTTCCTAATACTCGGCATTTTCTCTTTCTTGCCCTCCATAGTGAGGGCTTGCTCCCTTCCCTTATAGGTATCTGATAAAGTTGGAGGCTCAAGTGATAAAGAAAAGACAGGCATGCCAAGAAGCAGATGGAAAGGCTGGAGCTAATAGAACAGATCGCTACTCCAGGGCCTTCAACTCTGCCCTAGTTCTGGTCAAATAGGATTAATACTGCTCACGGTTACTATCCTAAAAGGATTGTCATGGTTAATAGTGGGCATTTACTATTTTCAGTGACTTTTGTTGCTGGAATAAAAGAGATGATAATATGAAACAAAATTCAGCCTGCTTCTCCTCATATTTTGATCAGCTCCCAAGCATTCAGGATGTTGTTACTAATTAGACATTTGTTTCAATATTCTGGGCCCCTCCAGGCTAGGCAAGCTTGTGATGTGGGGAAAGTTGACTCTTCATGCAATGGTCTCCGCGGCTTTGCATTAGATCCCCTGCTCCCTTGCAGGCACCAAATGCTCTTCTGTTGTTTTCTGGGTCTAGAACTCTGTTCCTTTTCTCCGGGGTAGCTCCTACTGATTCTTCAGCTTATTCCTCATTTTTTCTACAGGACAATCTCCTTCCTCCTATAGTACTCTTGATTTCCCCACTGCCTGTACATTAATTGTTTCTCTATAGATCCATCAGAGTCTTGACTTTTTTTTTCTTTTCTTTTCTTTTCTTTTTTTCTTTTTTCTTTTTTTTTTTTTTTTTGATGGAGTTTTGCTCTTGTTGCCCAATCTGGAGTGCAATGGCAAGATATTGGCTCACCGCAACCTCTGCCTCCCAGGTTCAAGTGATCCTCCTGCCTCAGCCTCTCAAGTAGCTGGGATTATAGGCATGTGCCACCACACCCAGCTAATTTTGTGTTTTTAGTAGAGACAGTGTTTCTCCATGTTGGCCAGGCTGCTCTCAAACTCCTGACCTCAGGTGATCCACACACCTCAGCCTCCCAAAGTGCTGGGATTACAGGCGTGAGCCACTGCGCCTGGCTAGTCTTGTTTTATTCATTGTTATATCCACAGATCTAACCCATTCCTGGTAAATAGCAGGTTCTTCCTAGATCTATTTCTGATGGACTGGCTTAGTGAATAAATGCTCATTTTACTGGTGATTCTGAAAAAGGAAAAAAAATTAATGATTTTACTCCACGATTAGCAACTTGTTTCTGCCCATTATAACAGGATACAAACTTATTATTGCCTACAAGGTCCTAACTTCCTTCTCTGACCTGTCTAGTAACACCCTCCTTATGCATTATGATACCCATGCTGGTGGCTTTCTCTCTTCCTCCAACACATCACTTTTCTTCCTACTTCCAGGCCTTTGTTCTTGCCGTTTTGTCTGCCCTGGAGTTTTGCTAAGTTGGTTTCCTTATTTAGGTGTTGCCTCAAATCTTAGAGCATTTCTCTTAGATCACTTCTCCTTAAAGTATTTCTTTCTCCCTTCCCAAAATTAAGAGTGTCTCCTATCCCTCTGGTCACTGTTTTCTTCTTTGCCCTAATCCCGGTCTGCAAGTTTATCTTTTTATTGGATCATTGTCCATCTTCTACTGATAAAAATAGCTGCAAGTCTGTCTTGTTCAAGGCTACAACTCTGAGTGCTTAGTAGAATGCCTCGTTCATTGCAGCATCTAGTATTTGATGATTAATACTGATTACACGTTTGATGAGTAAATGAATAAAAGAATAATCTTAGACATAAATTATTTAATTTCAGGGAAAGTGGTGGAATTTCGGGCGTTACTGTGGAAGAAACTTTTGAAGGTACTCCTTCCAGTTGGGTCATACTAGGCTAAGTTTTCCTTCTTTTTTTTTTTTTTACACAATTTAAAAATACTACATCTCAAAACTACTTGCTTGAAGTACTTACTTTAGACTACAGTTTAGAATTATAGTTATTAAAAATGTTTGATAAAAACTCTTTTTGTTAGTCAATAAGTTTACTCTGTCCTTCAAAGAGATTTACCTTATTCTCAGCAAGTAAGAGAGAAAAAAGAATTTCTTGTCCTCTTTGTACCAGGTGTTTTGCCCTTACTTTATGTTTACCTTAACATTCTTTTCCTTCCTTAGGTTTGCTTTTTGTCTATCTCCTTTTTTCACTATTATGTAATTCATGGAATTGCTGGCGGAAGTGCTTAATTTCAAATAGTCTGTTTTAGAATTTCACCAGAATGACAAGAACAAACAGAATGGTAAGCAGCTAGAGAGAGTAAAGTGAGAGTGATCCCTAGGCGAAATATGCTCCCTGCCTTCTAGGCTGACAACAGGCCTAGAGGATGTGTTTTGAGGGCTCAGGTTACCTTAACTGCAGGTCATTAATCTTATCTCAATCCCCTCCCTTTTCCTTCAGCTTTCCATTTCAAAGTCTGTATCACATCTTGAAGCGTTGTCACAGTATTGTTTTTTTTTTCTGACAATTCCCTCCATTAGCTGAGTTTTCCAATTTATATTACCTGATTTCTTTTTTTGTCTTCTGCTTTAAAAAAAAAAACACCCCTTTTTTTTCCTAAAGCTTTATTGAGTGTGTACTTTGGATTCTAATTCTTCCCATCAGGGTCTTCCCATAATTCTGTTTGCAGTGTAGTGCTGTCTGCACTATGTGTTGGTTACATCATGGTTACTCAGGAAGGAGTATAAGGGCACCTCGGTCATATCTGTAAAGTTCTTTAAGAGAGGGGAAGGGCGCTGATAGCAGTTCATGTGTTTTTGGGTAGCCGTCGCATATTGAGCGTGTTTACTGTATTTTCTTCTATTGTGAAAGAATCAGTTCTCTGGATTTCCGTAAAGCTTGTCTTTACCATTCTCCGCACCCTACTTATTTTTCTATTTAAGATTTTTTTTTTCGAATTATGTAATACATGTTCAACATGTAACATAAAAAGGTAATAAAAAACGTCACCTACAGTGCCGCGAAGGCTGAAAACAGCTTCTGTCTCTCTTCGTGCATAACAGTACCCCTCTCAAGGTTATGCAGCATTTTCAAACCTAGGAGAGCTCTCCAAATGCAAACGAAGTTAAAGATTTGTTATTCACCAAGTTCATAAGGAAATTAGCGAATCGCAGGGGCGTGAGAAAACTCGCATCTGGCGAATGAGCCCGCGAGTGCGGGGTTCTCTTCAGGGAGGTTGCTCGTCCACGACACACACCCCACTCTGCAGCCACCTGGAAGTGTGGCACCAAGGGCGGGCGAACCGGGCGGGCGGGGGCGGAGCTTGCGGTGACTGCGAGTGGGAGGAGGAGCTACAGCGCTGTCACCAATCAGAGCCCAGCTTTGTTTTCTCTTGCCGACCAATGAGGGAGTTCGGCTGGAGGGGTTGTCTTCAAGTCTGAGACGCCCGCCGCCTTCGCAGCCTATCAGCAGGCGCCTCTTACCCCGCGGGAGGTGCGGCCCCGCCCCGCCTTCCAGCCGCGGCCCCGCCCCTCCGAGGGTAGGGGCTGTGGAGGTTACTCGCCGGGCCGGAGGCGGAGGCCGGGCTCCCACTGGGCTCGAGCGTTCTGCGCCCGCCGCGGCGGTGTCTAACCCACTGGTTCCAGATTGTCGTCTGCGGCGGTGGCGGTCGCTGCCTCCTTGCCTCTGGGCCCGGGGCTGCAGGGGCCAGAGCGAGTGCGCCTCCCGCCCGCGGACCGCGGCTGCCCGGAGCAGGTAATGGGGCGCCGCGGTAGAGCGCCTGTCGAGTCCCGGGTTCGGAGTGGGTGGTGGGGTCGGCTCCCGAAGCTGCTCGCTGAGCGGGCGAGCGGGCCGAGCGGGGCCGCGCGGGGCCGCGGTGCTCAAGAGCCTCCCGCCCGCCTGGAGGCGCCTCCGCCCTGGAGCCCGCGGCGGGCACCTTGCGGGGAGGTGGGGGCGGGGCCGCCTCGGGAGGGACCCTGAGGATCCCTGGAGACCCCTGGGGACCCTTGGGGACGCGCGGGACTCCTGGCGGGGGCGGCGGCGGCGCCGACCCAGGGCGGGGAGGACCGGCAGGTGGGGGGAAAACTGCAGAGTTGAGTCAGAGTCCGGCTCCCCAGGGAAGAAGAACCAACTGAAAGGGAGCAATAAGCTGGGTGGCTTTTTTTTTTTTTTTTTTTTCTTCCTCTAAGCCAGAAAGGCGTCTTCACTTGGGTCATGTTAATTACATGTTTTCTGAGAACGGGCGTTTGGGCGTGCAATCTACACGATAGCATCATTTACTTATTTACTATTAAAAAAATTAAAAGCATCCTTTAGCGTGAATGCATTTGGGGGCTTTTGCTTAAGTGGCAGGTAGACCCAGCAGAGTAACTCACCTTTGTCTGGGCTGAAGTGGGGAGCGGTGAGGTAGGAGTGAGGGAGTGAGGGGGAGGAGTGTTCGTGATGAATGCCTGTGCAGGTTTGAAAGGATTGTGGGGGTGGAACCTTGTTTCTGTTACCGTGCCATGGGTAGGAGTAGAATTGTGATTTTTTTTTTCTCTTTCTAATTTTTAAAAACAACATTTACGTTTAAAAAAGGGCTCCCTAAAAGCAGTCTCTGGACTGAGGCTTTAGGGATGCACCTGCTTTATTCAGGCAGTAATAGTTTGCAGGTAAATCCCGGGCAATTAATTACGTGATTTGATTTACTTGTAAAGAAGTATCCTCAATTGTTGCTACCTTTCCTTTGACATGGCCAATATATTGTTTGTTTACAAGTGAATTGATGACGGTTACTGAGTTTTAGTGATAATGTCACAGCGATGGCCCTTGGAGATTTTTCTATGCTCAGGTTCACTCTGGTTCTACAAAAACAGTATGTCCATTTACTTGTGAAGCTCATAGCACTCTATCAGTTGTATAGTATGTCACCCTCTTATGCGTCTGAGGCAGGCTGTGCATAGCATGCCCATTTTACAGGTACATAAACTGAAAGCCCTAGAGATGAAAGGAATCCTGCCTCACTTTGCTCCTACTTTATTTTATACTTGTAATGGATGGATTTAATTAAAAAATCTGGATAAGATTCCCGCCATCAAGCCAACTTCTGCATACCAATTCGATCCCGTGTACACAGGTCAGAGGTGGAGATGGTTATTTTCAAGTAAAGAAATATTATCTCTAAGGTTTTTCTTTCCATCCAGGTTGCTAAGCTAGTTTGATTTCAGGGGAAAGGCAATTTTCCACACAGGTAAAACAAAAGTTAGTAGTGCTGTGTGAAAATCTCTTATTTTAAATTTTGGGAAGCTTTCCAAATTAGAGAACCTTATTTATGTTTGCGTTTCTAGTGCAGTATTGAATTTTGGTACAGTTTTTTGAATTGAATTGAAATAATTGATATGCAGAAGGCAAATACTAATGAAATGCATTTTGACTTATGACTTTGTTTTGGGAAGTGTTTACTGTAAATTTATAGATGGGTTGAAAAATAATTTCTTAATTAGAATAACTCGACCAAAGGATTTTGGGCATTAGTGTGAGACAAGCTGAAATGGGTAGTTGGGAGTAAACTCTTGTACGATGTTAAGGCTTAGGGAATTTTAGAGAATTGTTAGGTTATGTTAAATTTACAAGTTGTCAGGAATGTGAAGATGTCTTATGGATTATTAAATGGAACTCCTTTTTTTTTTTTTTTTTGAGATGGAGTCTCACTCTGTTATCCAGGCTGGAGTGCAGTGGCTTATGCAACCTCTGCCTCCATCACACCCAGCTAATTTTTTTATTTTTTATTTTTGTGGAGATGCGGTTTCACCATGTTGGCCAGGCTGGTCTCCAACTCCTGACCTCAAGTAATCTGCCCGCTTTGGCCACCCAAAGTGCTGAGATCACAGGCATGAACCATCGCACCTGGCCTGAATGGAACTGTTCTAAACATGAAGTTATCTCTTGTTTTGTGGCTAATACCTCTGTTGCATATGTACATTTTAACATATTCATGTAACATAAAAGGCAACTCTTACACAAGGCTGTCACTCTATTTATCTGTGTTTTAGTGGCTTTATTTAACTTTTACTCTGTCAAATTAAAATTCCTAGCACCCAAGCAAAAATTTTCATAAAGGAACCTTTTATCATCTGTTGATTATATAGAAAATGAATCATTTATTCTCATAAGCCCAGTCCTCCTGCAGTGTGGGACACTGGAAAGATATGTTGGCTGTGTGTGAAGTATTTGCCTGTATTCCTACCTGAAGCTTTGACTCCTCCTCCTCGCCCATGGTTTTCAGAGTTTCTGTGACTTTTTTCTTTTTTTCCACTGGGAGCTGCTTATTGGAGATTTCAAACAGATTTTTGGTTTTCCTTATTATAAACATTTCACTGACAAAGACACAAGGTACTGCAACTGTTTCTTTCCTAATTGCAGTTCAGACAGAATTGCAATGAATGACTTAAGTCTTGATTTTATTAAATGAGATTCATTTGGAAGGAAAGGGTATTCCTTCACTTTGAATTTAAAGTGATGGGAATTGTTAGTGAGGCTTGCGCACTGAAGATACTATTTTTTATAAACCGAAGGTTCGTTGGCAACCCTCCATTGGTGCCATTCTTCTGATAGTATATGTTCATTCTGTGTGTCTCTGTTATAGTTTGGTAATTCTCACAATATTGCAGATCCTTTCGTTGTTATCTTATCTGTTATGGTGATTTGTGGTAGGTGATCTTTGATGTTATTACTCTAATTGTTTTGGGGCTCCATGAACCACACCTATATAATATGGTGAACTTAATTGATAAATGTTGCATATGTTTTGATATCTCCACCAACTGTCCATTCCACATCTCTCTTCCTCTCTCCAGGCCTCCCTATTCCCTGAGACACAACAATATTGAAATTAGGCCAGTTAATAACTCTACATTGGCCTCTAAGTGTTCAAGTGAATCAAAGGGTTGCATGTCTCTCACTTTAAATCAAAAAGCTAGAAATGAGTGAGCTTAGTGAGGAAGTCATGACAAAAGCCGAGACAGGCCAAAAGCTAGGCCTCTTGAACCAAACAACCAAGCTCTGAATGCAAAGGAAATGTTCTTGAAAGAAATTAAAAGTGCTGCTCCACTGAACACACAAACGATAAGAAAGTTTAACAGCCTTATTGCTGAAATAGAGAAAGTTTTAATGGTCTGAGTAGAAAATCAAACCAGCCACAACATTCCCTTAAGCTAGCAGAGCAAAACTGTAACTCTCTTCAATTCAACGAAGGCTGAGAGAGGTAAGGAAGCTGCAGAGGAAAAGTTGGAAGCAGCTGGGCGTGGTGGTGCATGCCTGTAATCCCAGCACTTTGGGAGGCAGAGGCTGGTGGATCAAGAGGTCAGGAGATTGAAACTATCCTGGCCAACATGGTGAAACCCCTTCTCAATTAAAATACAAAAAACTAGCCGGGCATGGTGGTGCTCACCTGTAGTCCCAGCTACTTGGGAAGCTGAGGCAGGGGAATCGCTTGAACCCAGGAGGTGGAGGTTGCAGTGAGCTGAGATCATGCTACTGCACTCCAGCCTGGTGAGAGAGTAAGACTCCATCTAAAAAAAAAAAAAAAGAGAGAGAGAGAGAGAGAGAGAGAAAGAAAAGTTGGAAGCTAGAAGAGGTTGTTTCATGAGGTTTAAGGAATGAAGTCACTTCCTTAACATGAAAGTGCAAGGTGAGGCAGCGAATGCTGATATAGAAGCTATAGCAGGTTATCCAGAAGATCTAGCTAAGATCATTGCTGATGGTGGCTACACTGAACCATACTGTAGATGAAATAGCCCTCTATTGGAAAAAGATGCCTACTTGGACTTTCTTAGCTAGAAAGAAGTCAATGCCTCATCTGAAAGGCTAGGCTGACTCTTTTGTTTGGAGCTAATGCAGCTGGTGACTTCAAGTTGAGGCCAGTGCTCATTTACTATTCCAAAAATCGTTAAGCATTATGCAAAATCTATGCTGCTTGTGCTCTATAAATGGAGCAACAAAGCCTGGATGACAATACATTTGTTTACAGCATGGTTTACTGAATCTGTTAAGCTCACTGTCGAGACCCACTGCTCAGAAAAAAAGGTGTCATTGGAACAGTGCTGTTCATTGACAATGCACCTGACCACCCAAGAGCTCCGACGGAGATGTACAAGGAAAGGAAGTTAATGTTTACATGCCTGCTAGCACAACATCCACGCTGTACCCATGGATCTAGGAGTCATTGCGTCTTTTAAGACTTATTATTTAAGAAATACATCTTGTAAAGCTATAGCTGCCATAGATAGTGATTCTTCTGATGGGTCTTGGCTAAGTAAATTGAAAACCTGGGAAGGATTCACAGTTCTAGATGCCATTAAGGGTATTTGTGATTCAAGGGAGGAGGTCAAAATATTAACATTGACAGGAGTTTGGAAGAAGTTGATTCCAACCCTCATGGATGACTTTCAGGGGTTCAAGACTTCAGAGGAAGAGGTACCTGCAGATGTGGTGGAAATAGCAAGAGAACTAGAATTAGAAGTGGACCCTGAAAATGTGACTGAATTGCTGCAATCTCATTATCAAACTCGAATGGATGAAGAGTTGCTTCTTCTGGATGAGCAAATAAAGTGGATTCTTGAAAGGGAATCCATTTTTGGTGAAGATGCTGTGAGCATTGTTGAAATGACAATGGAGGATTTAGAATATTCTGTAAACTTAGTTAATTAAGCAGTGACAGGGCACGATAGGATTAACTTCAGTTGTGAATGAGGTTCTACTGTGAGTAAAATGCTACC